AGGTCATACTGCCTCCGTCATCAGAGTATGAAGATTTTCGTCTTCTGGGTTGTTGCGCTGTGTAGTCTGGTCGATGTTTACCAACATTTCAGAGGTCATACTGCCTCCGTCATCAGAGTATGAAGATTTCTGTCTTCTGGGTTATTGTGCTGTGTAGTCTGATTCATCGCCCTGATGACGGAGGCAGTATGACCTCTGAAACGTTGGTTAACATCGACCAGACTACACAGCGCAACAACCCAGAAGACGGAAATCTTCATTAGAATGACGATTTGCTTGAAGATCCTTACAATATTTTGATCAGATGACACGATCCTTTAGTGTACCATCCAAGTGTGTTTCTTGCGCGTTTTTGAACGAAGTCTGGGTTTAATAAACAACAGGTTATCAGCTTTCGGAGTAGAAAGATGACTTGTACAAGGAAACTGTACATTAACTGCGTTCAGTTGAAACGCACATCCATTAACTGAACTGTTGTTTCCGTGATTTTGAACATTTCTGACTCATATACTCACATATCTTTTAGATAATCGCCTAAAATGCGGAATAGGATCTCACCCAAGCCGTCTGTAGTTATAAGTTTTCTAGCTTTAACAAGATCTTTCTACCCTCGGTAAATGCAGTCGCAGTTCTGTATACGAACGTGCCCCAAGAAATCTATTCTCACATCTGTACGTCTGGGATAAGTTAATACGAGTCTCACGTCTCCCTTTGCCCTGAGGTTAGTTCCCTTAAGATATACCTGCATTAAGTTAGAAAAGTAAAAATATGTTAGATTATAGTTATTTAACTTTGTACTTTATGCTAAGTAACTTTCCGCTGCCATAATAACTTTGACGCGCTGGTGTTATCTTATATTCATGATGTTCTTTAAGTTATTCGACGGAGCTGTATCAACTGCATAGGTTACTGCACTGCTTGGACACTATAAAATATTTACGTAGGACACGTAATTTTCATTATAACATCTGCACTAAAATCGGTCGAGTTCGTCTCTCTTCAATTTGCGATTTGTCAGTGCTGCTTTCAAACAAAGCCGTTTGTATTGGTGAATGTATAGTCGCGTTGCTGGAATACTCAGCCTGAAACGAGTACATTTTTAATTTCTCTATTTACATTATAATTATGATTGAAGATAACAATCTGTAAAATGTCTTCGTTTTCGATTACAGACGATTACTACACACTTGATTCATTCTTATAAATCTTCTTATAGATAGAGTCCCATCTCCGAAACGTCGTTTTTACGTTTTATATTTACTAGACGATGGATAATATCCAAGAAAATTTTTATTCAATTGACTCTTCACCATCGGCAAGAAGTTTTAATGTAAACTACTACCAGACTACACAGTGCAACACTCCAGAATATATCCATCTTCATTTTTACCGCCGTGATAACCTGTTTGACAGTAGTGTTGAGAAGAAATATTTCTATTCTAAAATAACTGAGCTACAGGAGACCCTGGGAAAATCACGCAACGAGGAGTTAAATAATTTGCATTGTCCGCTAGATATTATCAAAATTAATGAATCGAGGAAGATGTGATGAGATAGAGAAGTAGCACGCGTGATGTTTTAGTTGGAAATCCGGACGTTTTGTGCTACTGTAATGGTTATAATATTAAAATGGATCTTTAAAAGATAGGATTTGACGGTATGGACTCTATGCATGTAGCTGACAGTGAGGTTGGGGCTTTTGTCGAGACCGTGTACAGTTAGGATTTTCACAAAATCCTTGACATTCGTCCTCTGTAAGGGAATTTTTCCTGTGCCAACGCAGATAGACAGGCTCGAGGTTAAAAATATTTGTCTACTTAGCTACCATGCGTCTTTACGTACGGATGATGTTTAGGGACGACCTTAATTAATTAATTTTAAATGTAATGAGTTTGATTTGGCAGGTGTGTCGATAAGAAAATCGTGCGGATTTACTGCATTAAAAATTATGATTTCTTGTAGACACACTCACACACTCACAGACACGTTTTGTCGTGTCCAGAATGATCTATTGGTCTGAATTCAATGTTACGGACTTAGAAGCCTCAAATTTGCGTTGAAGTAAAACTTCAACTTTTTGAAACACTTTATTGTTTGATTTACCATTAAGATAAGGGATTAGATGGAAGATAGACCACTCGACTAGGGCCGGTCCCTGATTTGTGCTGGTAATGTTGATTTGTTCTAGAAAATAATACAAGAAAGTAAGAAAAACATCGATAGACTATGTTTTACGGCAACTGTAGTTAGCCTTCTATATAGTTGACACGACAAACCTGGGGAATTTTCCAGAAAGAATCACGAAATAAGGTCATTATAAGTAAGCTTATCCAAAATAGAACGAAATAAAACGCCCTCATACTAGATTTTATGACTGAGTTATTACTCAAATGACCTCGCGGAGCGGAGAATTTTTGCATAAGCTGACAGTCGCTCAGCTAGTAAATAAGTCCCACCTCCAAAGGAATGATCACACCATATTCGCTATAACTCACTACCAGCCCCTATCGTGAGCCAGATGAATCCAGTCAACACATTTTAATATTATCCTCCCATATACGTCTCGGTCTTCTGACTCGTCTCTTCATTCAGGCTTCCATACTAACATTCTGTATGAATATTCATCTTCCTCATGCGCGCTACATGCCGTGTCCACTTTATTATTCCTAATTTAATAAAGCAAATGTTATTTACTGACAAAACACGAAGATCCTCGCTCTGAATTTTTCTCAGTATCTTGTTACTTTATAGGATTTAAAAAATTTTCACGGCGGATAGTATGAAGATGGCTGTCTTCTGGGTTGCATACTCTACACGGCGTTACAAGCCGGAGAACATCTCTCTTTGAACCAGTGTGCTTCTCATTAAACATACGAAATACATGAGAATAATAATCATAATAGTACAAAGGTGTGACAAGAACGTGTCGCAGTGGTAATTTGGAAGGTACAGAATTATTCTCGGAGACAATTACAGCTCTTAGCCCATGAAACCCGCGTTTGGGCAGACCAAAGGAATGCGTAGTTATTCGTATTAGTTAAGCTTTGAAGTACGCAATTGGCTAAGTTACTCTAGAATCTGTGACGCTTCTGACTTCTTTATGCAGTTAAAATGTCTGTCGGACTGCCAACTTTGGTTGTTTGTGAACTATGGGACAGTGCGTTGACGTTGTCATCATCCAGGTTCTTCTCAGTCCTCGCGAATTCTCAGAACGTCAGTTACTTCTCATGTAATTCCACGCACACAATAAGCGCCTCAGTTGATACAGTATCTTAAAATAGACTACGAGTTTCGAAATACATCGATTTAACGCCATCTTACAATTTGATGAGAGCGAAATTTCTCATTCGTGGGATTGCAAGGTATTTTAAGCCCCGGCGAAGTCCGATGGTATTTAATGAAAGCTGTATCAGGTGTTTTATCCAAGTGTTCAGTTGCGTATGAAGATGATTATGTATGATGATTTGAGAGTCATTAAGAAGGAAAGTTCCGTGATATTTTTTTATCTTAAAATTAGAAAAAAAAAATGACATGAAGAAACTGCTTATAAATAAGGCCGAAACAACTAGGATTCCTATTAATTTTACCGGGGGGGGGTCATTAATGCCTGTGCTGTTTGCTTAGCCGACCCAATTTGGAATTAAATATGTGTGGAACATGCAAATATCAGCCATTTTGTTCTTGTATCAGGAGGACGCCGTAAATGGATTTAACTCAATGCTGTGCAGGGTTTTCAGAAGCTGATAGTCGCTCTAGTAGTCACGAAATTCCGCCTATTTTGAAACTCTTAGGGTGTTCATGAGGCCCGTAACGTTTTCCACCCCTGAGCCAGATTAATCCTCGTACCCTGTGTCTAAAACAATGTTTTTTGGTATTGAAGATGACTGTCTTTTCGTGTGTCGTGCCGTGTCATGTGATACATCGTAAAACACAGAAGTCTTCGAACTCATTTTGATATCAATCTCCCACCTATGTCTAGGTCTTTCAAGTGATGTCTTCCTTTCACATTTTCATGCATGCCTCAGTCATATAATTCATAAAAACTAAAGACGTTGCTTACCTGCTGGTGACTGTTCAGTGCCTTGCCAATGCCTGCGACTGCCAGCAGCTTCAATACCGACTGAATCTCCGGTCGCTTCAAAACATGACGACGTCTTTATAGGTCACGAGGCTGTCCCTCATGTTTCAGTTCTTGTAGGCCGTGTTTCGAGTTCGTTTTCGTCTGCTCGCGGCTTTAATGTCATTGTCTTTCAGATGCGGTTTGAAAGCGTCCGGCCGGAGGTCAGCCACTCTTCACAAGGTTCGGAGCACTGTGATGACCGCAGACACACGCTA